AATTAATACTGGCCACTCCAGGCTGTAGGGTGACCAGATCAGAGATATAAAATATTGGGACGCAGAGGGGCCGGGGGGGGTGGAGCAAAAAAAAGGAGTTTCAAAGGGGCCAGGGGCATTAGCAGACCCCGGCCGCGCACGCTGCCCTCCCCGCGGAGCCGCCCGCCCCAGGCACATGCGACGCGCGGTGGGTCCCAGTGGGGGCAGCGCGGAGCGGGCAGGGGCCGGGTGGGCAGCGCGGGCCCAATCCCCGCTGCTGCCGGGGAGACCCGCACCTCTCCCTCCTGCTCGCGACTGCGGCTCCTTCGCGGCAGGACGCGCCTCCCGCCGCCCCGGGCACATGCGGCACGCATCCCCCGTGCCTAGTCTCCCTCCCGCCGGGAAGGAGCTCCTGGAGCGCAGCCGAGAGGGAGAGGCGCGGGGCTCCCCGCCGGTGGCGGGATGCGCGCCGCATTTGCCCGGGGCGGGCTGGGGGGCGGGAGGCACGTCCTGCAGGGAAGGAGCTGCAGCTGCGAGCGGGAGGGAGAGGCATGGGGTTACCCAGCAGCAGTGGGGATTCGGCCCACACCCATGTGCCGCCCACCCGACCCCTGCACACTCCGCGCTGCCCCCGCCCGGACCCATCGCACTGCCCCGCGGGCTGCAGGGCTGGAGCAATCTCCGCGCTGCGCTCCCGGCCCCGGGCCCCCATGTGCAGCGGCCCGGGGGCTGGGCAAGAGCCCTCAGAGCTGAGCCCCCTGTCTCCCTCCCTTGACAGCCCCCCTTTGCCTGCCTGCCCGCTGACTCACCAGCTCCAGGATCCAGGCGCCGCCACCCCGCCCCCTCCCGGCTTGCGCTGCCATGCAGCTGCAAGCCTGGGAGGGAGGAGGAATGCCGCGTGGTTGGGGAAGAGGCGGGGCCAGGGCAGGGATTTGGGGAGGGAGCCAATGGGGGAAGGAGGGGGCAGAGCCAGGGCGGGAGGGGGGCGAGATTCCCTCCGGGAGGGCAAAATTTCTTGTTTGTCCCAAACATTGGTCGGGACACGGGACAAAGAAGCAAATATTGGGACAGTCCCGATAAAATCGGGACGTCTGGTCACCCTACCAGGCTGGTATTAAACTTCCAAGTTACAGCTTCTCTCTGACCTTGGATCGGTAGATGCTGCCACCACCCAAGCGCAAAAAAACCCCTTGGGACCCAGGAAGGCGCACTTGGGAATTCCTCTCTGTGGGGTACCTCAAGCCCTTTCATTCTCCCCCCTTCCCAGGGAAGAGCTGAGAAAAAAAACAAAGGAAATCAGCTGTTGCCACCAGCTAATTAAGCAACACATGCACAAACCTCTTAGGACACAAAAAACCCAATCCTGTTCTTAAAAAAGGTAAATTTTATTAAAAACAAAAAGAAAGAAAATACATCTGGAACTTAGGCTATTGCTAGATTTAAAAAGAGCCCTCTCCTGCCTCTTCCTATTTGATTCTGCTGCTGCCTAGTCCCTCCCACTGCTTCTGCATTTCCTGGCCACAGAATTGCTCATCTGCAAAGCAGAGAGATTGTAAATGAAGGGAAATCAGACTGTATGGTGCAGTGCCACTCCCATGTATGGCAAGCTCTCCTAGAACAGTGGTTCTCAACCAGGGGTACCTGTACCCCTGGAGTACACAGAGATCTTCCAGGGAAACATCAATTCATCTTGATATTTGCCTAGTTTTACAACAGGTTACATAAAAAGCACTAGCAAAGTCAGTACAAACTAAAATTTCATACAAACAATGACTTGTTTATATTGCTCTATATACTATACACTGAAATGTAAGTACAATATTTATATTCCAATCGATTTATTTTATAATTATATGATAAAAATGAGAGTCAGCATTTTTTCAGTAAGAGTGTGCTGTGACACTTTTGTATTTTTATGTCAGATTTTGTAAGCAAGTGGTTCTTAAGTGAAGTGAAACTTGGGGGTACACAAGACAAATCAGACTCCTGAAAGGGGTTCAGTCGTCTGGAATGGTTCAGAGCCACTTTCCTAGGGAACTGGCAAAGGCAGCTTGGTTTCAGCAATAAGCCAATCTTGTCTGTCACAGACAAGCTAACCAACAGCTACCAGCAGGGCCAGCTTTAGGAAGTGCTGGGCCCAATTCGAACATTTTCGGCGGGGCCCCAGCAGGGATGACTAAAAAAAAACCATATTAAAAAAAGCCTTTCATTTATTAGCAACTGGTTCCCTATAAAAAGTTCTGATTTAAGGGATGTGCCACAGTATGTATTTTTTGTACTAATAGGGTTACCTACCATACGTCCGTATTTTCCCGGGAGGAATTTTTTAAATTTAAAAAATTCCTCCCGGACGGCGATTTAAGAACCAAAAAGCCTGACATGTCCAGGAAAATACGGATGTATGGCTTTCTGAAAGTCTAAGTACACTATATCCACTGGAACACCTTTGTCCACATGCTTGTTGACCACCTCAAAGAATTCTAGTAGATTGGTGAGGCATGATTTCCCTTTATAAAAACAATGTTGACTCTTCCCCAACAAATCATGTTTATCTATGTGTGTGATAATTCTGTTCTTTACTATAGTTTCAACCAAGTAATTGGCAGGATCACCTCTGGAGCCTTTTTAAAAAATTGGTGTCACTTTAGCTATCCTCCAGTCATCTAGCACAGAAGATGATTTAAATGATAAGTTACATACCACAGTTAGTAGTTCTGCAATTTCATATTTGAGTTCCTTCATAAGTCTTGGGTGAATACCATCTGGTCCTGGTGACTTACTACTGTTTAATTAATCAATTTGTTCCAAAAATTTGTTCATTACCTGTCTCTCTCCCAGAAAATTCAGTGGCGTTGGAGAACTGACCTCTTAGGGAGGTTGGCTGGGCCAGATCACAGGACTGGCTATACCTGAATACTACACCTTCCCCAGAATGATTCCCCTGCCCCAGATTCCTATTTCCTCCAGTTGGTCTTTCAAGAGAAACTCAAAGCCTTGATGCATCTGAAGAAGTGAGGTTTTTACCCACGAAAGCTTATGCCCAAATAAATCTGTTAGTCTTTAAGGTGCCACCAGACTCCTTGTTGTTTTCAAAGCCCTGAGTTCACCTGGGCCTTCTGCAGCATGTGGGGACATCAGCTATTTGGGGGCAAATTAAGAGGAAGGGCTGTAAAGCAGCCTAAGAAGCTTGAAGGAGAAGAGGCACTTAGTGTGAGTGAAGGCATCACAAGGGAAACAGGAAACCATCAAAGCTGGGCAGATTAAAAGCTTTTCTCCTCCCCTTTCTCAGAGCCCAACGGGGCTTCTTTCCCACTGCTGGGGACTCTGCTCACCAACTCTTTTCTCACCTGAAGGGTCTGTGCAATGAGGCATGTGGTTTCTCTGCTAGAGGGCCAGCTCAGCAGCGCCCAGCCCCAAAAGCCACTGCAGCTCAGAAGGGGAAGAATACAGGAAAAGCGAGGGCAGGAAGACCAATGTCTCACTGGGAATCCCCCCAGACCGAGAACTTCTTTGCAAAAAACTCTGAGGAAGAAGTTTCTGTAGAGGGAAGTACAAACTGGGCAGAACAAGTAGCCAAGCAGCTGGGACACAAGAGGAGTTTGTGTTAATTTAACCCTCTTTGTCCCACTCCTGCCTCTTAACAGCACTTGCCCCCTTGAGAGCTGCCTTTCATCCCAGGGGACTCAGAGCAGCGTACAGGGGTAGAGTCAAAACCTGTTATCTCCAGTGTCCAGAATGGGCAAGGAAGGCACAGAGATGGGGGTCTTCTTGCCCAAAGACTACACAAGGACTCGTTTCAGAGTGGAAGCCGCGTTAGTCTGTATCAGCAAAAACACCGAGGGGTCCTTGTGGCACCTTAGAGACTAACAAATGTATTTGGGCATAAGCTTTCGTGGGCTAGAACCCACTTCACGAACAGAGGTCAGGAGTCCTGTCTCCTCGTCGGACCTACCTCCCTGCCACAGCTGGGAATAAGACACAGGAGGCCTGACTCCTGTCCTGCTCCAACAGGACCTCTCGCCCCCGCCCGGGCAGGGACCCAGGAGTCCCGAGCCCCGCCCCCCAGCCCGGCCTCTAGGGCTAGGACCGGGACCCAGGAGTCCCGAGCCCCGCCCCCCACCTGGGCTCTGGGGCCGGGACCCAGGAGTCCCGAGCCGCGCCCCCCACCCGGGCTCTGGGGCCGGGACCCAGGAGTCCTGAGCCCGAGGCGCCGCCCCTCTGCGGGCCCGGCACGCCTTCGCTTCCACAAACCCAACCCCCGAGTCATTATTTTACCTCTGCATATTACATATAATTTGCATATAAAGTAGCTAATTTGTATAATACGTCTCCTGGCAGCGAGATACGTAACCCGACCCCCACCTGGCCCTGGCACCAGCCCAGAGCTGCGCCACCCCCCGCGCCGGGATCTCTACAGGAGGCGGCCCGCCACCCGACCTCTGAGCCGCGAACTACAATTCCCAGAGCACCTTGCGCCTACAGCAGGTACTTCCGGACATCGCCCCCCCTTCTGATAGGCTCATCTTGACCTCTTGCGGCGACCTTGGCTACGAGGGGTCACGTGAGTGTGCGTGACGCGGGGGGGATGCCGCCGCCTGCTTGGTTTGGTCTCACGTGGGTCGATCGGTCCGGGCCTGGGATCGGGCCGCTTTAACCGGGGCCTTCATCCCCGCCCCCTCCTCCGGGCAGAGCTGCTGCGGCCTGGGCGGGGCGCTGGCCTCCTGGGGCCGCGGTGCAGGGACACCTCGAGACAGGGGGACGGGGAAGCTGGGCCTAGGAGCCCTCTGGAGATAGCGCGGGGGGCCCTGGGGACAGCTGGGCTCTGGGGGCAGGGCAGGGGGCAGCTGGGCTTGGGGGGGGCTCTGGGGGCAGGGGCAGGGGGCAGGCGTGGGC